ACACTGTAATTTTCAGGGAGTTATAATAACTCCTCTAGTGGGGCTAATTTAACTCCTTACAGTGGAGTTATTTTTCGTGGAGTTATTTTAACTCCAAAAAGGAGTTTAAAGAACTCTTTTTCAGGAGTAAAAGTGACCCCAGATATTGAGGAGTTAAAATAACCCCAAAAAAGGAGTTATCCTGTACCTAAAATTTTTACTCCACTTTCAGAGTTAAATTAACTCCAAAAAGAGTAAAAACAACCCATGTAAGGAGTACAAGTAACCCCATTTCGGAGTAATTTTAACTCCAGACTGGGAGTAAAAAGAACTCTTTTTCAGGAGTAAAAATGACCCCAAATTCGGAGTTAAACTAGGAGTTAAAATAACCCCAAAAAGGGGGTTATCCTGTACCTAAACTTTTTACTCCATTTTTGGAGTTATAATAACTCCCTAAAAATTACGGTGCAAATATGGCAAAAATAGCAGGAATAACAATTTTTTCAAAATTCTACTTTTACAAAGAGAAAAGTCCAAGAAGGGCTTCGTGAAGTCTGCAAATTTCTCAAAAATCGCAAAAGTAACGGGAAATTTCCTTGCTAAGTGAAAAGATTGAGTAACAAATGTAGCAGAAATAGCAAAAATAACAAATCTAACAAGAATCAAGACTTAGAAAGAGAAGCAGCCAAGGAGGGCCCCGAAATGTCCGCGAATATCGCAAAAATCGCAAAAGTAACAAGGATTTTTAATGCTAGCTAAAAACACGCATGACAAATATCGCAAATATCGCAAAAATAACAAATGTAACAAAATTCCAGACTTAGAAAGAAAAGAAGCCGAGCGTTTTCAGCTAGCAAAAAAATGTCTTTGTTACTTTTTGCGATTTTTGCGGACATTTCGGGGTTCTTCTTGGCTTCTTTTGTTTCCAAGTCTTGATTCTTGTTAGATTTGTTATTTTTGCGATTTTTGCGATATTTGTAAGTGATTTTCTGACATAATTTTTTCTCAATTATTTCTTTTGCGACAATTGCGAAGAAAATTGGCGAGCAAATTTTTGCTAACAAGATCGATCCTGGACATATCTCCCGTTACCATGGTAGCAAAATTTCTGGATCACAATAAGAGGGAGTTTAAGCAACGACGACGACGGCGGCGTCTTATCAATGGCAAAAAAAAAAAAAAACAAAAAAACTGTGAAACTGAATGCGATTGTTCTGTTACCCTAAGTTCCAGGTCGTCTTTGTACACATCCTCGATGAGTTTTCCTGGATGATGTTCTCCGAGAGGAAACGGGTAGTCACTGCCTAAAATAACATTCTCCTGAAAAAAAAAAATACACATGCAGGATAATGAGCCCACGCTTGCTGCAATGAGAAAATTGAGAGCTTGAAGGTTTATTATCATTTTTTTTCAGTGTTGTGTCTGTACAGGGGACAAGTGCGCTTCGCACACAAACGAAGATTATTGAAAACACAACTTTAATGGGGACTCAGACTTGCACAGGTCAGCTCGTTCTTGATCAACACAACAAGTCACAATCTCATCATGGCTTACTAAAACTTCACCTTGTTAGCAAAAACCTACGCAAAAGAAGAACTAAATCACTGTCGGGGTGGAAACGAAACGCTTGCTACGGAAACGCTTGCTACGCAGGCAACATCAAAACTAAGTTTCAATCCACGTACAGCCTTGCCGTTCGTACAAACAGACGACAGAAACCAGTTTCAATGCCTATAAAATATAGTCTGAAATACCAAATCTAGACCGTCACTTTTAGAATTCAATTGATGCAAAGACAAACGATAGCAAATAGCGTGACATAACCCATCCTAAGTACACGTCTTGTTAATTTTTGCTTGCATAAATTTCACAGTGTATTAAATAGATCATAACCAAAAATCACTGAACTCTTTACCTGACCAATGGTGTCAACCAGTAATTTAAGAGCTTTTTCATCATGGACAAGACTATCTGTATAAATTTGACCAATGTAGTTTCTGAAACATGCAATATTATAACGAATGATACATTTAAGGTTCTGTTTGTAGTCTATAGAAAGTATTGTGAGATTATAAAGAATACATCTAACAAAATCAATTTAACACTGCTACAATACAGTTAACTCACACAGAAACTGTTGGATGCGACAAAAGGGGCCGTCTTAGGCCCGGTTCTGACGCCGAACTTTTCATAAGCCGACCCTAACTCGAATTAAGGTCGACCCAAATTATTTAGACCAGCTGATTTGATTCAGACGCCGATCTTAATTTCAGCTGAACTAAGTGCTCATTTTGGTCAAACTGCTTACAAAATACGTTCTAATAATTTATGCGTCTGAATCAAAGCCGTTCCAAAGTCGCGACCAAAGGCGAAATTCCCGGCCGGGGTAGGCGAAAAGAACGGCTAAGCCGTTCCTAATTGATTCATGACACCGAACTTTCATGTACTTTATTCAATGTATCAGGTTCGGCTCTTAAAAAGTTCGGCGTCATGAGTCGTTTCGAAAACGTCCTGTTCGCCAACGTCTTAACTCTTAAGTCGTTTTGCAAACGTGTTAGGTCAGTTTCCTAACTGCTCTCGCCTGATCAGTGGCTAAAGGAACAACCTGTTCATGTGTGTCACACTTTTTCGTGTACTGGCTGAAAGAACGAGGTATTCTGTATGCATGTGAAGTGCTCGTTTACTTCCTTAAGCGAAACGACTGAAGACGTTAGCGAACCGACTTGTGGGCGAAATGACCGGTCACCCTCTTAGATAGGCGTCTATACTTTTTTCATGTCTTACAATCATGTCTTGCAATCACTTGGCGAGTGTTCAAGTCCAGCCATAAGTCATTGATTAACAAAGGATTGAAAGTTACGATGTAGGAGTATACTACAAGTGAACTGACCTTGGATTTATTGGATTCTCAACAGCACAGAGATCAGGTCTGACATTAAAGCCATGTTCAATACGACCAATAGTGAATGGAAATGCTCCTCCTGCATTAAAAAAAACAACAACAAAGAAAGAAAGAAAAAGAAAGAAAATTATAAATATGAAGGGAAAAAAGCTAGCTTTGTATAGATTTCTGAAGATGTTCTTTAAGTGTGATCATCCTACAAGAGTTTAGCCTTCGTAGCTGGCGGAATAGACCTTTTTAGCTGGTATGCTTTGTTTTCCTAATTCAGACCACGAGATGTTCTCCAAGGAATTCAACTTCAACTTCAACTTTATTCATTCAATCTCAATTGACAATTTCACGATAGCTTCCAACCGCGTATAGGCGGGGGAAGAGACACACAAATTTTAAAGAAAAGAAAGGAAAAAAGAAATATTTCAGTAAAAAGAATTTCAGTAATTATGCATACATATGCACGTGGATGCACGTGCGTAAGACAACATTTGAAAGAAAAAGTTCTCTGAGGCACCATTATGTTGTCTGAAATAGGAAAACAAAACAAACAAGCTAAAAAGTCTATTGTTTTTGCCTGCGTGCAAGTTTTGGCGGCGCGAAGCCGCCATTCTTGCGGCTTAGCCGCAAAAAAAAAGTGTCTCCTTCGCATTCTCCGCACGTTGCGTGAATGATCCCGCCGGCTACGCAGACTAAGGGCCTGTTTACATGGAGGTGGGGGACCCCAGGTAGGTGAAATAACCCGCTTAGGTGGGGTAACCCGCCTGTCCATATAATCTCTCATTTTAATTCGATCATGTTTACATAATAGGTGGCGTGACCCGCCACATGTTGTCTCACCTATCTGGGTTCCCTTACCTCCATGTAAACAGGCCCCAACCAGAGTTACAACGTTATGTACATGTGCGAGCATGTGATAAGGCAAAAGATGTGCTTGATAAAATTAACGTTTACCTCCGTGAGCAAAACACACTTTGAGTCTTGGATATCGTTCCAGAACACAACCAAAGATCATGCAACAGATCGCCTGCGCAGTTTCAGCAGGCATTCCTGCAAAGGCAACAAGGCCAAGTTTACCCCTGAAACCCTAGTCTGCTATTCAGCCGTTTTTAGAGTCGTCACGCAACGCTCCTCCCCACTGGGGAGGAGCGTTGCGTGACGACACTAAAAACGGTTGTGTAGCAGACTACTGAAGCCCTGATACGAACATGCATAATATACATCATCTAAAGTATTATACTTAAAATCTAAGGCTGTGGAGAGGTCAAAGGTCAAGGTAACGGCCCTTTACGTCGGTAATAGTGCTCATTAGAATGACAAACCTGATCCCGCGGTGTGCTTATTTTACCCCCTTCTCTCCATCAGTGACTCGTTTTACGGGTATTAGA